TCATGGCATTTCTGAATGTTTTTTTCCATTTGTGGCTTGGTTTCTGACCCAGGTGGGAAGCTCTTTAGATTTATCAGTGGAACATAATATGTTATTCATGAATACAAAATGGGGATGTACACCTACAAGCCTGACTAGAGGGGGAACAGACAATAGTTGGAAGCACTGGTCATGAAGCACTAGCTGCCTAGGCCAGTCTTCCTGCATCTGGTACTCTCATGAGTAGAAATGGGCACAAAGCACTTCATAGAGCTTCCTATGAAGCTGTCAGCATGGCATCACAGATGCCGCCCTGACCATCTCCCACTCACCCTAGCCAGCCGGGCCACTCACTGGACTTTGCATTCTGTTGGGGTGCTTCTTCTCCTGCAGTGCTCCAATCAGGATAGGAGTTCGTCCAGCCCTTCCCCACCATCTCTGACAACCGACCACTCTGACAAGGAGTCGGGATGGGGATTCTCCCCATGTAACCAGAGAACTTGGAGAAGGACCAGCTGTGATGCCAGACCTTATGAGGTGTGGCCAGCATAGCCAGTGGCCAGAAAATATGACAGTGGTAATCTACAACACTGGTTCTTAACCTTGGGTTACTCAGGAGTTTTGGACTGCAACTCCCAGAAGCCTTCACCACCAACTGTGCTGGCTGGGGTTTCTGGGAGTTGCAGTTCAAAAACATCCAAGTAACAAAGGTTAGGAACCACTGATCTACAACATGGAGAGAGTATCAGGTTGCCTACCTACACAAGATCAATAATGGAAGGATTTATACATAATTAAATAAGGTTCAAAGTTTTGATGTGGGGCCAGGGTTAAGAAGTGTAACATCAAACCAGTTAAAACAGTTAAAGCATTCAGTGCACATCCTGTCACATTTTTGATGGAGCGCCACTGAGACATGCTAAAGACATCAAATTAGCATTTCCATTGTATCCACAGATAATTCCCCCTTGCTTGTTTGTATCTGACAGCAGTAGTTTCTCTTTCAACACTTTTCTTGTCAGGAATTCTTGCATATATGTACAGGCCATGCTGACCTGCTTTGCTCCTTCTCTTTGGGGGGAGGGTCAGGGGGTCATCATATACATCACGGGAAAGAAAATATAGAAATGAATGGCCTGTTATTTTCCAAGCATACTTGAACTATGATGTTGAATGAAAAAAAAAAATGGGGGGGATGATGGTTTTAGTTGCCCTTTGAAATGCAGGTCTGTTAGGTTATGTCTGGGATTAGAAGGTTAGAAGAGAAAGGAGAAAGTGCCCATTAACTGGAAGGTTTTGACGTCTGTTTCTTGCCACTGTGAGAATGAATTTTCAAGGCAAAACTCACTCCTGGTATGAGCTAATTAACAAACTAGTTTCAGCTGAAGTGAAGTGGGGAGAGAGTGAAGTCACTTTAGAAAAGTTACTCTCTTCTTCAAGAAGATTTGGGGCAACTTGAGGCCTGATTAGTGAATTCCTTTGAAGGGTCTAGAAAGTGGAGCGATAGGTTTAAAAATTGTGAGTTTGCATAGTTTAGCCTAGTTTCTCTCAGGAGAATGCTATGTTCACCTGCTGCTTTGGTACCTGTACTCTGCATATTTTCTGGAACCATGCTGAAGTTTTGTTTGAATATGAGTATTAGCTTAGGATAATTAGCTTTCTTATTTTGTGTGAGAACTGTTGCAGAATTGTCTTTGCCTCAAGATCTTTTGAATGCTTGTTTGCTCCACAGTTTCTGTTGAAATTTTTTGAAACAGTTTGAAACTATTCCTTGTGACTTCTTTTTGCAACACCTTCAATAGAATAAAAGCAATTTTCTGTTCCTGCACTTACTACAGCTGATAAGTTTTACGTGGAGAAGATGAAGTGGAGAGCAAACCATCTGAAATGAATTTACTTGGAGAAGGCGCAGCAAAAATCTAACGACTGTTATAAATGTTATAAATGTTCCCTTCTGCCAGCATGGTATACGTTGCCAACAATTAAATGTGTCCCTATTTGGATTCCTGGTCAAATGCCAAGACACCTAAGCAGGGCTGTAACTAGGGTGGAGCAACTGGGCCTTTGCTACAGGGCACCAAAATGAAAAAGTGAATCTACTAATCAATATTAGACAAACAGATAGCAGCATCTTTCAGTCTTGGTCATCTTCTCTCTATTTCTGTTGGGAAAGAATATTATATTCTCCTTCCCTCTTTTTCATTGCCTCAGGACAAAATCAGTGGGTGATGGTGCCACATGCCCCAGGTGCCAGCGTTACTAATTACTATTCTTTATCAGTGTGGCACCCAATGAAGAATGCAACTGAGAACGTGTTAATTAGGGTCACTGCAAGGAATGTAATTTCTCTTTTACTGGCATAAACTACACAACAGGATTTCAGCCAGAGCTTTGATGAAACAAGTACTGTAGATAAATTCTGTCATTCAAATAATAGATTTGACCCACATATTTCCCACCTAGAAGTACAGCAGTGATAGTTCATTGCACATATAGTCAATGTCAAGATTATGGCCAAGTCAGAGAGACGTGCACTGAGCAACACTTCCCAGACTTTCCTGGTGTGGGTGACTTCCAAGCGAGCTAAGTACGCTGATAGCTGGGGGAAATCTCGCTGCGTGGTCACCTCCCAACACTTTGAGTCACTCTGACTGCACACAGTTTCAGGGAATACCAAAACTTCACAAGTTTAAGCGTTTTAGCCTCTCTGCTAACCCTGCTAGATGGGAATACCAGAATACCCACAAAATGTGTGCTATCCAGTAATTAGTCAAGGCAAGGCCTTTCCTTAGCCCCAAGAATCCTTTTTCATTCCAATAATAACCAAATTGCTCTAATTTTTTATTTTCTTTAAAGCAGAGATTTCCACCCTAATGGGAATGGACATTTCCAGCCCTGTCTGACTCGGAACAACACTCCCATTCTTAGTTTATCTTTCCCCCTGCCCTGCCATGTTTTCCATAGTTATTGTTGACCTGAAATCATTGGGTGTGAATTTATAATGACAGAATGGTCAGTAAGGCAGGAGGGAAAAGGAGACCAGCGTCCAGGGTGGCTGTGAACTCTTAAGCGTGGCAAGGAGGCATCCATGTGGAGTCATGGTACATAGAATAAGGACATTATATTTTAGATACATCCTTAGCAAGATAAGAAGGAAAACAGTAATAGAGGGAAATGTTGGAGGCAGCAAGAAAGTAAGAAGGCCAATTATAGGATGAATTAATTCAATAAAAGAAGTCATGGCCTTGAGTTTGCATATAGGATGAATTAATTCAATAAAAAAAGTCATGGCCTTGAGTTTGCAAGACCTTAGCAGGGTTGTCAATGATCAGACCTTTTAGACTTGGCAATTCATGGGGTCACCATAAGTCAGAAGTGACTGGTGACATACGAAAACGATATCTAGCATAACTGTTAACTGGAATCTGTCCTAGAACTTGGGGATGTTACAGTTCCTAGAATCCCTGTGTGTGTCATGTGCCACCAAGTTACAACTGACTTAATAGCAATCCTAATAGGATTTCAAAATAAGTGAGTTATTTAAGGAGTGGTTTTACCAGTTCCACCCCCATCCCTGTGAATTTCCATGGCCGACCAGGGAATCAAACCCAGGGTGCCCGAATCCCTAGCCAGTCACAGACCCTTGTGCTGAGTACAGTCCGTTTTGACAGGAACTTCGTCTGTAAAGCCAGAGACCGGAAATGTTTTCCTATTCTGTGCTTTTAACTGGCAGCATTAAATTTGAACATGACTAGAAGTGAAGCGTTTGTGGAAGTTTTTAAGCCGTAGTGTGTATGTCATTCCCTTCCCATGCATCCCAACATTTCACTTCCCCTTCCTGCCATCCTTGATATCTCTAAGCATGACATTGAATTTTGCAGGCAGCCTTTAGTTAATGTTAATTTATGGTTCTGGTTACTCATCAGTGTAAGGTTGCTTGGAGAAGCGGCAGCTCACTTGTAAAGCACATGCTTTGCCTGGGAGAACACCCCATGGCCAGTCTTTGCCGTCTCTAGCTTTGGCTAGAAAAGATCCCTCCAGGATGGAGGTCTTGCCACTCAGTCAGTGAACCAGTGGCAAGGTCCTGTGTCCTGTTCCAATTTTGTGACTTCCTGACAACCAGATTATTATTAACAGCAGATACCTTTTTCTGTTATTTGAAGGCATCTCTTAGTACTTGATGCCTTTTTCTGTTCTTTTTGTTTTGTCCAGAATCTGGTAGCTGTAGAAATATCTTATATGTTCTACACCCTCCCTGTAAAGAAACTTTGGCAATGATGACCTTTATTTTGGAAACTCGCATCACAATCACACTTTTGAAAACAAGGCAAATGTGTGTTCCTCATTCTCCTCAATTCCCCCCCCCAACAATTGAATGATGGCCAGTGCTCCTCTGTAAGCTTCTGTGATCTGTGCAGGTTTCTCCAAAATGATACACTGTCAATTTATCTGAAACAAGATGGTGGCGGCATCTACAACAGTGACAATAACAACAGTAGTGTTGCAATACAGATAATTTTTTTTCTTGGTGGCTGAACTGCTGTATTGCAGCCAAAACTCTGCTCAAAGCTTGGGTTCACTCCCAGGTAGCTGGCACAAACAAGGTTCATTCAGCCTCCCGTCCTTCCAAGGTCTGTCAAATAAGTACCCAGCTTGCTGGGGGGGAGGGCAAAGTGTAGTCTGCATAATTAACGTAAATCACCCAGAGAGTTCTTGAAGAGCTATGGAGTGATATATAAGCAGTACAGTTTGCCTTTTTTTGTGGGTTTTTTTGTTTTGTTTTGTTTTTTGGTCACTTGCTTCAGCCATGAGAACTATCTACTTTTTGCAGAAGGAAGGAAACATGGTTTAGGGTTAGGATTAGGGTGTCAAAACGTTTGACTTATACACAAGAATTCTGTGAATTTTAGGCTCTTTTACCTTGGCTGTTGTACTGCATCAAATATAACCTCTATTTTTCCTCACTTTTAAAATTCTTTCCTTCTCTCCCTCCCTTCTCCCCCACCCCCTTTGGCTTTCAGAGCAGTTGGTGCTTGGTGCCTACAAAGAACTCTCTCGACGTTGGGATAAGGACTACGACACTTTTGTGCTGCCACTGCTGGATGAACTGCAGCCATGTTACATTCTCTACCGCCTGGACACCCAAAATGCACAGGGCTATGAGTGGCTTTTTATTTCCTGGTCACCTGACAACTCTCCTGTAAGCCTTGATTTTTATTTCCACTTGAATAAATGCTACTTGAGTGTCCCCTCAAAGGTTCTTAGCTGCTTGGCACCATGTAACTGGTTTACGCAATGGATTGTGGATTAAAGGCTGCAGTGACTACTCTGTAGAACAATTGGAGGGCTATATCATCCTTCTTGTCACAGAAATAGTATTGCTCTTGAAGAGTATTTAGATTGCTGGCTGCTTTGTATCTAGTTGTGTTTCATAGCATTTTGCAAGTGCCACCTGTTACCTGATAGTGTTAAATTGAACGAGATGTAAATTAAGTTTATTCAACTAAAAGGTAGTGTGGTTCAGAGTGAAGAATATCTGTCATCTACTACTCCATTTATTTATTTATCTGTCTGTCTGTCTGTCTGTCTGTCTCTATTTATTTATTTAGTCCATCTGGCTTATATGCCGCCCACACTCTGCAAGATTATTGTTCTTAATGTTTATTTAAAGTTTCTAAAGATGTAGGTAGCTTGAAAAAAATTGTACCTCCTAAAGGGGTGGCTATGTGTATAATTTATATATTTAGTTACTTACACTTATTTGCGATCAGCTTCCTTCTAAACATTTTAAAGCAGTGTGCAACCATTATAAAACATACAGTATAAAATCACTATACTTCATCAGCTGACTAAATGGGTTTATAAGGGAAAAGGCGGTATCTGTGCTAACAAGGCCCCCCTGTTGTTTAGGGGGACAATAAAACCTTACATCTGAGTCAGTAGCAAATCAGCAGCCAGTGCAGCGGAAGTGTTACATGCCAAGTAGTACATGATGGCCCTCAGCAGCCGACCTGAAGCATTCTCTCCAGGCGCTGCTTCTGGATCACCCTTAAAGGCCGCCACATATAGAGCGCAATGAGTAGTTTGTACAGTCAAGGTTACCCATATCTGGTCTGCTCCTGTGGCTGTGTGCTAGAGGAAACTAAAAATCTTGTGGCACCTTAAAGACAGTTTTAGCATTCATAGGTAATCGCCTGCTGTGGCTAGAAGCAAACAGCTTTCTGACTGAGCCCATTTGTCTCTTTCATAGGGAAAGTTGCTGATTTCTAATCATGGGCTCTTTCACTGTGTTTTGTAAACATATACACACAATGACTTCATGTGCTTCACCTGACATAGCAGGAGACTTTGCTTCTTTAAAAGAGATAAAGATTGAAGGTTGCATCTACTGTTCTTTCACACATTCTTGTTTCGTACCGTGTTTCCCCAAAAATAAGAAAGGGTCTTATATTAATTTTTGCTCCAAAAAAATGCGTTAGGGTTTATTTTCAGGGGATGTTTTATTTTATAGTCATGTAATCATCTTCTGGTTGCTGCACAATGCTGCACAGTGGTGGAGGGCAGGGTTTCACTTAACTGGAGCTTATTTTGGGGGTAGGGCTTACATTACGAGCATCCTGAAAAGTCATGCTAGGGCTTATTTTCAGGTTAGGTCTTATTTTCGGGAAAACAGGGTATGCTTTTTAGTGCAAAAACTGTTCTGCTCAGGTTAGAGCCATTGTGCCATCTGGCGGTCAACTGAGATAATGTTGACAGCTGAATTTGGGCATTCCATTTTAGGGCCCAACATAGGTTCGATGAGTTTCTCATGAGATACCTCAAGTTTTAATAAATGGCTTGACATTTATTAAAACTCAAAGGATGAGGAAGTGAACTTGTCCATGAAAGCTCACATTTAAATGTAACAGTTAGTCTTTAAGATGCCGCAACATTTTTGTCTTATTTTTTATTTTTCTTTCATTTTGGCCTGATATGCTAACACAGACTAAGTGACTACCTATTGTAAAACTACATTTATTAAAACCTAGGGAATATGTCACCAGTTTGTTGAAAAATAAAGTAAATGAAAATGTCATGGCCATGAAGATGGATGCTATAATAGGGATCGTAGTTGCTAAGTATATTGATACACTGATGCAGAGGAAAGCTCATCTAGAGCTTCTCCAAAAAATAGCTACCTGGTGAATTAATAAATAAAATATAAATAATTGTTCTTATTAGCAGCCCCTATTGACGTCAGACTTGGCTACCCGTCCTGGTTGCCTTTGGAGACTACTTAGAACCACAGTTTGAAGATCAGTTGTGCTCCAAAAATAATGGCTAGGGAACATATCACCCAGCAAAGGAGGCTCTTCCTGATAGATTCAGGAAGCCCAAATAGATCTGCAGTGGCAGCACTCTTTGGCCACTGTGATCTGAGCAATAAATTAGCAGAGACTATAAAACATGGAATGGCTTATCCTTGTCACTGATGCCATATTCTCCTCTTTATAACCAGGTGAGGCTGAAGATGCTTTATGCGGCAACCAGAGCAACGGTGAAGAAAGAGTTTGGTGGTGGACACATAAAAGATGAACTCTTTGGAACGGTTAAGGTACTACCATTTGGCATATATAATGAGACCATGGTGACAACCAAATGCTGGGGAAAGAGATGCTGGTATTACGTAGTGTTCTGCAAAACCCTCCATCTGGAAGTCAGACTGTGATTTCCCATTTCTGTCACCATCCTCCTTTGAGTATTCTTCCTGCGTTTAAGATCTATAGTTATGCAGCTATAAAGGAAACTGTCTCCCCTCCAGGAAACTGAATGATACCTTCAACTTTTCTCATCATTTTTATTGCTGTTATTGTTTTGACTTATAAACCACCCCAGAGTTCTATAGCGCTCTCTGGGCAGCTTATAGTGTAATTGTGCAAAGGAACACTTTGCACCCACATACACCCAAATGAACTGGGTGCTCAGAAGGATGGAAGGCTGAATCAACCTTGACCCGACTGCCCAAATCCATCAGGATCAAACTCAAGTCGTGAGCAGAGGCTTGACTGCAGCACTACAGTTTAACCACTGTGCCTTGGGGATTTTTCCACCTGATCTGATGCAGTTTCAGTCAGTTTTACCTACTTTGCCATTTATGCAGTTTTAGGATCATCACAAGATAGGTTAGTATGTACAGGATGACTGAAAGATGTCTTGCAGGTGATTGAACGTGGGGTTTAGATGGATCATCTCTGTTGAGGTAGATTATAAACCTCTGTCCCACATGGGATGGTATCTGCAGTTGGTGGACAGTGGAGTGCGATAGTTTCTCTTCTCCTTAACATTATCCTGTTCTTCTTGAGCAAATATTAATTTGCAGTGCTCAAGTTATTGTTGGTGGGCAGTCTGGCCGTCTTAGCTGTTTTCCTTTTTAAATGGTGAGAAGAGGGTATGATTTGACTTAATTTCATGAGAGCCAGGGGTTAATGCTATTTCATTAAGGGCCATCTACCTTTCCCTCTATAAGCTGACCGTTGCTCTGTGGTAAGGGGTGAGGGGGGGGGAAAGAGGAGCATAAGCTTCCCAGCAGGTTCAGATGCTCCTGTGGGCTTGTTAGCCAGGCATTGCTGGTTGTCCTGGAGAAACATGGGTTGAGTAGTTGCAACCTTCTCTGGGTTATACCTCCGTTCAGCATCTGGTTAGCTTCAGGCCATTTTGTTGATGTTGCAGTAGCAACACCTGGATTTTCCTGGCGCTGTCCTTCGTGGGAAGCACCATAAGGTGGCAGCCTTGCTCATGAGTGGGGATCCCGTACTGTCTTTGTAAAATAAACCTTGTGGATTTGACTCTTTTTTCTTTTTTCAACTCTCTGTGGTTACATATGTCTGAAATTCTCAAGATGCATCTGTCTTTGGGCCAAAGATTTACCACTAAACTATCTGAAGCCCACTTTCAGTGGACGTTAACATATTCCTCCCGGTGATGTTATTTTACTTCATTAAGCAGTGCCTGTAAAAGGGAAAGCATAGCAAGTTTATCCTGTGAGGGCTCTTGAGCAGATTTGGCACGAGCTGGTCTTTGTGCCTCCCAAAGCAGAACAGCAGGCGTATGTGTCCATAGTCAGTGGCTGCTAACCCATTGGGACGGGGGAGGGGCATTTCTGTAATTGACAGATAGTCACGACCCATGCTTGGAAAAAAATCCTTTTTAAAGGGCTGCAAGGTCCAGAATTCCCCAGCTACCTAGCTGGAAGATTATTGGGATAGTTGTCCATAATCTTCCCATTGCTTGTTTTGCCTTACAGCTTCCTGAAGAGGAAAAAAAACACCCGCACAAGGGTGTGGGCTTGGGTTGTCCCAGGGTAGCAGCTCAAACCTGGAAGAAGTCCCCACAGCTGTCAGCTGTCATCATAACGGGTTAAGCAGGGAGGGGATGCCAGAGTTCGAATAGGTTCTCGTCCCCACCTTTTCTATCATGAAGCTTCAGGTGCCAGTCACCTCTGCTCCTGCTTGTAGTCAAATCTGTCTCTGCTACATCCGTTCCTCTGTTTGATCATAGGAAGATGTCTCACTTGGTGGATATCAGAAGCACGTGTCGTCCTGCTCTGCTCCAGCCCCTCTGACTGCAGCTGAACAAGAACTCCAGCAGATCCGCATCAATGAGGTAAGAAGGAGTTTTGCTTTTGTTTTGTTTTTTAAGCTGGGGAGGGGAAGAGCATCTCCCCTTTAGGATGGGGTCCCACCCTTGAACACCCTGGAGCACGAACTACCCTTCAGGGAGGGTGGGCAGTTTTGCCACGTTTCTACCCACCCAAGGTTCCCTGTAAGCTCTGCCTCCCTCCCCGCAACGGTGCTCCTCCTCCATACAGCGATCACGTTAGGTGGTGACGGAACCCTGCGCACGCGGGGGGGGAGGAGCAAAGTCGGGAGACAGAGGAGGGTACGACGTATTCACTGTTTTACATCCAGGGGCTCTCCACATTTCATGAGTGGTATGTGTAAGCCCCCCAAGACACGTGGAAGTTGTCCACCATGGCTTGATTGATGGATTTTTTTTCACCCCAGAGTGATAGATATTGAAATCTATTAATCACATATATTTAGAAACAGGTTTAAAAGCCAGTTGTAAAACCCAAGCCCTGGATGGAATGATATAGTTTTGGCTGCCCACAGAAAGCACAGTACGCTGGGACTATTTATGTTCACAAGATGATTCTGTCCCCAGCTGCCATTTTCCTTGGGCAGTCTTAGGCCTTACAACGTACATTGAGGTTTATGCATTCCAGCTGATGGGAACCGCAGGATATAGTCCTCTTGTTCAAGACAGGAAGAGGCGCCTTTGAAAGTGTTGTCTTCTTCCTAACTCCCTTCTGGAGCCCATTAGCATGACTGTGGACTCTAGCTAAAGAAAGGAGAAGTGTACACAATTGGATAGAAAGGGAGCAAAAAGCCTCTGGAGCCACAGGGGAGAATGAGTCTTGCTTTTCCCTGACCTTTTTCTGACCATTTAAAATTTTGCAGTGCTCTTTTCCATACAGCATTTCTGTATCTCTTTCACTGGCTACTGTTGCCTTTCCTAGACTATTTACTTTTAGTTAGTTCCAGAGACTAGCTGGGCAAGGAAATATGCCAATATAACCTATATCATGCTTGTCACAGGTACAGTCCAATAGGTGCTTTGTGACAGAAATACAGCAATCAGGTACTTGCTGTGGGGGGAAACCACAGCTCTGAAATGATCCTGGCTGCTGGAGAAAAATGATATACCCACAATAGGAGCAAGAAGAGTCAATATTCGACCTGCCCATATTATAAATGGAGATGGGGATGAAGCGCCAAAATGGTGCTTCGTCTTCATTTGTGGGTCATCAAACTTGATGAACCACGAATTCGGTGCTTCGTCTTCATTTGTAGGTCATCAAACTTGATGAACCACGAATTTGCCCCCAGTGGCTTGACGAACCACAAGTCAATTTGTTGGGCATAGGAGGAAAGGGGAACCAAGCCATCCCCCAGCCCCGGGGGTGAGATTCCCTTTAGGTAAGCTTTAGTAAGCCACCCGAAGGGAAAATCACTCTCTGCTTATGCCCCCAAGGAACAGTCTCATTATAAACAACTGTACTTGAACCCTCCAAATGTTTTTTTGACCTTAGGCAAAATCATTTCTGTGATTCAGTGAATAAATTTCAGGAGTTATTACTCCCTGACTGCCTATTTCTGTGAGCAGTCAGTCGTTCAGGACAGCAGCCAAGCACTTTTCACATAGCCAAGATTCTGTCAAGCTTATGCAATGACTCATATGGGCAGTGAGAAGAGAGAATTAGAAGGTATGTCTAATCATATGAAATGAACTGTGATTTCTCTACAGCAGTCATTTTCAACCTTGGATCTCTAGATAAATTTGGATTAAAATTCTCATTGTCTCTGATAATTGGTCACCCTAGTTGGAATGATGGGAGTTGTAGATCACTGTATAGGTGGACCCATGTTTGGGAAAAGACAATAATTGTTGAAAGAAAAAGTAATCCTAGGATATGTAGAAGGCAGCAGAAAGAGTGGGAGACAGAATATGAGATGTCTTGTCTCAATAAAGGAAGCCATAGTCTTGAGTCTGCAACAGCTAAGCAGAGTTGTTAATGATGCGACATTATTCATTCATTGGGGTGCCATAGGTTAGCGGTGACTTCATGGCATGTAACAACCACAACAATACAGTTGGGAAACCGTGCCTTGCTGCATAGAGTCATAGATCTGCAGTCACAAAGCTAAGGGAACACACATTTTCTGTTGGCCTATGGTGTGAAACAATGACCTTGTTGGTTCGCAGTGGGTTGAGCCCTACAGGTGGTTGAACCACCTGTATAACATTTGAACCCCAAACTGTCCAGTTGAAAATGATGGCATGGCAGTAACCTAATGTCATTGTCTTGGTGTTCAACAACCATAGCAAGTTCATCTCTGAATCATTTTTAAATTGCTAGGATTTGAACTTTAGGGCTCTCTTGTTCCTTTTGTGGGCTGTGATCAAATCAAACAATGATTAGCAACTAACATATGGTAGCTAGTATTCATACTTGTGCTGGCTTAAACCTTAGGCATGTTAGGGTTGACAACAGAGGGGGTGATGAAGAAGAGTGAAAGCCAGCTGAGCAGGACATTTTCTTTGTTGTTTTGAAGACAAGCTTCTAGGTCTAATAGCACAAATATGTGGCAAGCACCTTCCAGGAGATGAGCATTTTATTGTGAGGTTGAGTAAAAGAGGATGGAAAGAACTAGGATGTGCCCTAGCTCCAAGCAAAGAGTGTTGACTGGCATAGCATAGTAGTTACGCTATGGGTTTAAATCCTCATTTGGCTTTGAAGGTCACTGTGTGACTTTGAGCCAGTCATACTCAGCCTGACCCACCTTATAGAATTAGTGTGAGGATGGCAGGCAGAAGTGCTGTTTACGCTGCATTGAGCTCCTTTGAGGAAAAGCAGAATATAAATGCAACAAGCAAACGAAGCAAAAAACTAAATAGAATCATAGAATTGTAGAGATAGAAAGGGTCCCAAAGTCATTGAGTCCCACCTGCAGCTAAATCATTTCCAGCTGGTGGTCATCTTATGTCTGCTTAAAAATCTCTGATGCAGAAGTGTCCATCATCTTCTGATATAGCCCCTTGCACCCCCAAACAGCTTTTATTGCCAGTAAATTCTTCCTAGTACTTTGATCAACATCTCGTTGCTTGGATCTATTGGTTCATGTATGACTTCTGGAGCCTTAGAAAACAAGCCCAAATGAGAGCCTTTCAGATATTTATGGTTGGCTGTCCTGTCACCTCTCAGCTCTCCGTTTTTCAGGGAAAACCTATCCCATTCCCTCAGCTGGTCTTCACAGGGCTTGGTTTCTACACCTTGCTCTGGATGCTGTAATTCTGTTAATACAGTTGTATTAGCTTTCATGTTATGAAAGAAGGTCCTGTCCTGCTCATTGTGTGTTTCCTACCTGCACATATTTATACTCTTACAAAATTGTTTTCCTTTTCTTCTGATCTCTTTTTACCAATCCAGGATTTTTTTTATTCAAGAATTTCTGGGTGAGCAACAGCGGTGTAATATCCCATTTACTTTACTTCTTCACATTTTCCTGGGTTTGAAACTTAATCCTTGTCATATATTTATATTGTGACTGTGTTTGCAACTAGAAATACTGAAAGATACGTGACAAATATTTTCCAAAGCCAGGAATTCATATAATTACTTTTTCCAGAAGATGGTGCTATTGGATTACAAATGCCATTTTCATTTACAAATGCCACATCTTACGTCAATTGCCTCTTTGTTTATTATAATCTCATGTTTATGTTTACAAATTCTAACCTGGACATTCTTTTAGAAGCATTCAGTTGTCATGACTATTTATGAATTCAGTGACCTTGCTCTGCTGGAAAATAGGGATTGTTTTGAAAACAATGAAGTTCAAGCTGCAAGTTTCACTCTTAAAACACTTTTTCCTGCAACCCTCCCTCTCCCAATAGCCATTCTATTTTTTTTCTAACTTACTTAAACATACCAGGTTTCAAACCTTGGTAGTATCATCTGAAAATCTGGTGCTCTTTACCTCCACACTCTCATCCAGGTCATTTATAAAGAAACTGAATAGCTCTGGGCCCAGGAGAGAAGCCTGCGGCGCCATGCTTGTCACTCCTTTCCAGAATGAGGACAAACCATTAGTGAGCAGTCTTTGAGTATGGCCCATCAACTACCTTCAAATCAACTTATGCAAACAAATAAACCATGTATTGCTGGTTTATTAGCAAGAATATGATGGGGGACCTTGTCCAAAGCCAGGTCGAAACCAGAGCTATAGCTCATTCTACCAAGCTAGTGATTCTATAAAAAAAAATCAGAGATAAGATTCATCTGGCATGGCTTGTGTTTGAGAAAATGGTGTTAGGTCTTAACACTCACCACATTCTTTCCTTAACACCCACAGCTGCACTATTTAGCAATCCATTCTAAAACCTTTGCAGGTATTGACAACAAGCTTTCCTGGATACATTTACCTGCCTCTACTCTGTGGGAAACTCCTGGTTTTATTCCTATAAATATTAGCTACTCATACTTTTCCTTGGCTATTTGCCGCCCAGAGTAGACCTTTGGTCTAGATGGGCGGAGTAGAAGTCTAATAAATAAATAATAAATTTGTTCCTCCTTCCAGTTTCTATGTATGCCCCCCTTTAAATCTTACCTCCTTTCACAGCCACCCTAGATTTTTTTACATGTGTCCCACTTTTCTTCGTCATGGGAATAGTTTGTGTTGTGCCTTCGATATCTCTCCTTTAAGAAACTCCAATTCTTTGTGTATTGCTTTTAGGTTGAGTATTTTCCTTCATCATGGGAATAGTTTGTGTTGTGCCTTCAATCTCTCTCCTTTAAGAAACTCCAATCCTTTGTGTATTGCTTTTAGGTTAAGTATTTCCCACCCTGGGATCTCACCCAGTATTTCCTTATGTTTATCAAAACCAGATTTCTTAAAGTCCTGAGTGTATCTTACTTTACTCTCCGCTGTACCTGTCCTCAATAGACCTAATCCCAAGGGCATGGTAACAACTTCCACTCAAAGTTTCCAGTACAGTATTTCCCTTTGCTAACCAGTTCTCCCTCTCAATAGGGACTAGAT